CCTGCCCAGGGCAGGGGGTGGGACTGGATGGTCTTCAAGGTCCCTTCCAACCCAAACCATTCTATGATTCTATGGAACAATGTACATGCAAGTAAGTATTTGGAGTTAAAACAGTCCCAAGCAATTCTGGAAGGGATGATGGAGACCCTTTGCTGCTGTCAGACCCATCAGGTCAGCTTCGCTGCTCCATCCTCCCCTGCACAGCTAACACGCTCCTTCCCCACCAGCCTTTTATCACATTAGCTGGTTTCTTGCCTATCCCAACACTGGGCATTGCACCTCCCAGACCACATAACACCTGCTCAGGAACTTACGCCTTTACCCTCAAAATCAAGGTCACCTTCTGCTGGTCCCATGTGTGTAAAACCTCCTCCACCCTACACACAGCCTGGCTGCAGCTGCTACAGTGAAAAGCGCCATTTCCTTTAAGGAATTTACCTAAATCTACCCCAGAGCAGGTGTCCTGCCTGCGATTCCTACCAGTTCACTGGGACCCACAAGCTTTGCTGGAAACACAACACCTGAACATAACCTTTGATCAGTTTAAATGAAAACCAGGTTTCAAAGCACTGCCTTACATAAAGCAGGGGCTGACATTCATGGGATGATTAAGTATCTCCTTACCTCCTCCCGCTTTTAGCCCCAGTTCTTGTCCCATGCTCTGTTTGAGGTGTCCTACCATATGGACAGCATCTGCACCAGCAAGGAGACAACCCAGCCCTTAACTGGGCACCCCCTCCCTTAAATCACTGCCTCGTTAGCGGGTGCTCAGCCCCGCAGCTGCTGCTCGTGTAGCGCAGCTGATGGGGATGGGGTCCCGCTCCCGCAGGAGAGGGGATCCGGGGTGAAACCTGTGGTAAGGAGAACAAATGGACGGGTGTAGGACGAGGTTTGGATCCGGCGCCCGGGATGGAGCTGGGGATTTCTCCCCCACACAGCTCCAGCGCTCCCCTATCCGCCCAGGAAACAAACTTGGGTTTAAATATTGACTTTCTTGCACAAAACCGGGATGGGTGGAGACCGCTGCCATGCTGTGCCCGTGCGGTTTATCAGCCCTCAGTGGAAAACAGAGATTGCTGGGACTTTGGCCTCATCTGCTCCCAGCTGCCGGGGGGAGAAGGGAGGCAGCGACCGCAGCCGGGAGAGGGAAACTCAGGTCAAGGCTGCCCTGACCCTCCCCGGGGCCTGGGTGTGTGGGTCTGGCAGGATTTGGGGAGCAACGAGGTGCTGGTGAAGCCCTTGTGCCCAGGGAAAGTGCAGCTGAGCTCGGAGGGAATGCGTCGTCCTTCCCTTTCCCCCCGCAGAGCCGTTCTGCTAAAGACCCCGTAATTAAAACCAAACCCCGACTCGCCCGTGCTGCTCTCCCCGCTGCGGAGCGGGGAGGAGAGCGGCCCAGCAGACCTCTCCCCGATGGCCGCCCGGTGCCCATCGCCCTGGTGTGTGGTCAGCGGGAAG